GTAGTCTCTGCAATAGCTAATGCTTGCTATCATAGGGTGCGCTGTTGCCATGGCAACATTTTTTTAACTTGTCTGCAGTCGCACAGGAAACCTATGGCAAGTGGTGTGCTGCAGGCTAACAACATGTTAGCAATGTATTAAATGTGTATCTCACTCGCAAAACTCTTCCCCTCTGGAATTGCCTGTTACTTTGCAGACATAACCCTGGGTAGTAATTGCCGACTGGTGCAGAAGGGTTTGCGCGCGAGCACAGCGCTGTGGGGTATGTGAGCGTGCTACGTGGGGTGTGGGGCGGGGGGGCAGGGGTGGTTGTTTTTGTCTGAAGGACCCCAGACTGTGTCAACAGGAATCAAAGTCAGTTGGTAGCAAATCATCTTCTAATAAATGGCACCTTTTTTCTTTTTTCTCCCCCCCCCCCCCCCTTTTCTTTAATTTCAGAGTTCAACAGTAATGGCCAGAGCTGAAAAATTCAAGGAAGTTGAATATCTCCTTATTCATGGAACAGCAGATGGTGAGTTGCAGTTAATTAGACGTTTTAGTATTACAGACAGGTTCGCAATTCTACCACTGACAAAACAAAAGCATGAAGGGGCAAGGCTGTTACATTTACGTCAATAAAATAATACTGCTTTCTGCAACTAATTTGTGTTTCAGTCAGCAGTGCTGGGGAGGCTACTGTGTTCATTGCTTTGCTTTTCCCCCAGAGTAGTACAGAAGCAATTTTTTGTTTACCCATTTCCTCGTTTTCTTCCACTTTTCAGATAATGTTCACTTTCAGCAAGCAGCGCAGATTTCCAAAGCTCTTGTTGATGCTGAAGTGGATTTTCAGGCAATGGTATGGTTCTGTTTTGTTTATCATCATACAAATGGGTTTGTGTTACAAGAATAACAACAACAACAACAGCAGCTCCCTGTTGTTAGGTACAAATCACTTGCCATCTTGAATGAAGATTCACATAGTTGCATTACATGGGTGTGTTATGTTAGAATTTCAGTTATTGAACACAAATCTTCTGTACAAGAAAAGATGTAAAGCAACTCCTTTTCATATTTCACCCTGTTTACCTAATCTTTCATTATGCTGATTTTGTGTTCTCAGACAAACATCAGAGCCAGTCCCATTGTTGGCATATACCCAAAGTCCAGCGAATAGTATCTTACAGAGAGGTTATAAGGCAAGGCTAACTTTGACTAAGTCCATCACGTTTGGTGTTTCTTTATTGAACTTGTAAGACAAGTAGTTATTTGCCCCTCCTTACGCTGTACACGGAAACTCTCAGACTAAGGTGCAAGCTCTTCCTTTCCTACCTTCTCTCAGCTCTTGGGAAGCACTGCTGTAAAGGATGAAGTACAGAAGGAAGCCAAGTGCACCAGCGTGTGGTTATCCTTCAGCCAGACTTGCAGGGGTTATGGGGACAGAGATGAGGCACCACTCTGGATGGAGGAGCTGCATCTACCCTCCATGTGGACGAACCAGGAATTCATTTTGTACTTTTAGCTTGAATAGGTGCTATATCCCCCCCGCACAGCAGGGACAAAAGTATCACAGCAGCTTCCTACCACCATCATGTCTTTGCCTCCATGTGGAATTAGCCTCATGCTGGGATAGTTTTAAATGGTTACACAAGTTTTTATGTCTATCATGTTTGATTTATGTCATTTAGATGTAGCTAGAACTAACATTCTCTGTATTTTTCCTTCCCACAGTGGTACACTGACAAAGACCATGCCATCACCGGTCAAGCACATAAGCATATTTATACCCATATGAGCCATTTCATAAAGCAGTGTTTCTCGCTGCCCTAGCACCAGCAGTTTGGTTGTCAGTGATGGTACTTCTCCAGAAAGCTCTGGTTAATGTACACTGAGCCGGTATAAACTTTTCTGAATGAAGATTAAGATAAGGGTCAGCTCTTGGGATACCTCTGTACACAATGAAATGAAATACTGAGCTTTGTAGTGATTTCTGTTGCCAAGCGACTATTGTATTTTTATTGATTGTGTGTAATTAGGTCTTAACATCACCGGAATGTAGGTATGTTGCAGACTTTTAGAAAGCATGGTACTTGCTTGAATCAGTACCTTTTAATAGTTCAGTCTAAAAGAGAAATAGTCCAGTTTCTATATTAGGGTAATGAATTATGAAAATGTCAGAGGAACTAATGTGGAGATCAGCTAAGGAATAAAAATAATAATGTTTCCATCAAAATATCAAACTAATTCTGTGATCATTTCTGTGAAAATACTGATAAAACTTTTAAGACATTTTGCAGAAATTACCTAATGCTTGATCAATTATTATTTTAGAAATAGTATCAGGATTACTGCAATGTTAATATTTTCTATGCAGAATCAAACACTTTGTTTACTGCAGTTCCTTGAGTTGGTGTTTTCTCTGCAATCTCCTGGATTACAACTGTAGAAGTCTTGCAAGGAAAGCATGAAACCAGCTTTCACCAAAGATTTTTAATTATGCCTATTCAAGCCAATGGAACTGAATTTCTTTGTTTCCTATCATAGTACTGTGATTTTTGCTTACTTTATAGTCAAAGAGGCTGCTACTGTGGGAATCTGCACTGGTAAAATCTGAATGGTGGGCTGTTAGAGATGTTTCTCTATAGGACAGAGAATATTTTTTTTTAGAAGGTTCCTATATATTGATGAATAGAATACATTCCTTGCACTCAAACATAAAACATTACAATGCAAACTAGCAGTCACTTAAAGCAAGGACTGGACTGTAACTCTCATGTGAACATGCTATTTAGTAAACCTGCTTTTCCTTGCAGCCTACCAGTAAACTTCTGCTTTATCTTCAGCACTCCAGGTAGGCTTCTCCACCTGAAGATATGATTAGCTTTCTTAATTTCATAGAGATAGAAAAGATGCAACTCACTTGTACTACGAACTTCACTGTTTTAAAATAATAAAGACATTAAGTTATGAAAATGTTGCTCAAGAAATGAAGTCCTAGAATTTTACAAAAATCCATTAATTTTAAGAGGTACTTACAGTGAAGTTTCTGCTTCTATCTAATGCTATCATGTAATGGACTGTGACACGATTATGTAACACTTATTTACTTAGCTTCTTGATATTAGACACCAGCATGTGATTATGTATGTCTTGTGGGTTATTAGTGACATTAAGTGTGAATGTGAAAGTACTCAGACAGATAACGCGTGGGGGAGAATGTCAAGGGAGTTTGTGCAGCTTGTCCTTAAATGAGAAAGAGAAGGGGGCCTGAGGTGTAAAATAAGGTTTTGAGATCACAAACAAATCAAAAATTCCTTGACTCACAAAATAAGTTTTTTGTGGAAACAAACTGGAGATGGGTATTACAGCTATAATCCTGGGCTTCTTGTATTAGTGGTTCTAATGTGCACTGGCACCACTGTTAAAGTTCTATGGAATACTGGCTGTCAGTTGACTCAAAGAGGTTATAGTATCCACATCTCTGATTCTTTTGACTCTAGAGAAAGAAGCATAAAACAGTATAAAGGTAGATAACAGCAATGCAGGTAGGTTATAAAAAAGATGATCATATTATGAACTTCTGGATGGCTTGTATATGCAAGGGGCAAATAGTTATGTTTTTTTAAAATGTTATCACTCACACTGTCATATCAATAACAAAAGAGTATTTCTGTAAGCCAAAAACTACATTAACTAGGCCCTTATTAAAGAACTGCAAGAATTTCCCTGGTGTAATCAGAGAAGCATTAAAAAAAGCTTAAACCAAAAAATTATATGGTCTTGGTAAGTCTTTTATTAAGTAAAGATGCAGTTCTTTGTCTGACCTACCTTGTTGATTCTAGCATCTCACTGGGAAGCTTCTGTACTCTCAATACATTGTCCTGTTTTAACTGTCTTATCTGTGAGGCGTAACAAAGTGCAATGCTAGTTGTCTTGTATTTCTTTGTCTGGAAAGCAACTTCTCAGATACGCTAGTAGTAGAGCATGATGCAGCTTCTAAAACAAAAAAACCCCACTTTTATTGCTATAGTAAGTGTCCTAATAAACATCAATTTAGTGTCTAATTTTCTCTCTGGTAGATCTCCCTCAGCTTTAAAAATAATGCAGACAGTAGGACAATAGAGCTACCTCAGGGAATGGACAGCGTACTTGAAAAGCATAAGCACAGGTAAATGCCTAAAACTGAGGCCGCGGAAGAAAGCCATCTCATTTCCAGCACTGGGAACCTGGGAAGTTGTGCCTGAAGTAGTGGCACATGCTAGAGTTAAGCACTTACTTACCATCTACCTTTTTTTCTCTGTATTTCTTTCTGTGTGAGATGGATACTCAGGTTTGTTGTACAGTACACTTTGTGTAAAATCCTAACAAGTGGATGAAGCCTGAGGTGTGACTGTTACCATTCTCAGGCTAGGAGGCTTCCTGTCTTTTGGTTTAAAAATTGGTGTAGAAGCTCAAAGGGATTTAATAAGATGGAGTCATTACTTTAAGATTTGGGGTTTGGCAGCAGTACTAGGCTTTAAAGCCTAAAAGTTTTTTAGTTGCAGAAATTTAGGGTCCTGAGAATAGCAGAAATAGCAGAAGCTCCCACAGTAGGCTAAGCTGCTATTCAGCTGTTAGATACTTTAAATATTGTAGCATTGAGGAGTTTTAAATGGTATGACCTTACCTATTGATCTGTGAAAAGACCCAACTACTGCTGCCTGGTCCACATCATCTCCCTTGGGAGGAAGGGGATCCAACTTGTAATTCCCACTCTCATCTGGGAAGAGGTCAGTTATCCGCCAGCCCCCATGGCATACTTACTGCTAAGAGTCACACCAAGTACACCACCATCTGCCCCACACAGCAAGCCACAGCTGAAAGCATTGCATGTTTCAGTGAGATTCCACTTGAAAATGGAGCAGTACTGGGCTCTACAATTCATTCATTTGTGAAGCATATTCAAGTGTCAGGTAGACATTTAAAATCCTGTACTCTATTGCATACTTGTTCTGGGTTTTGCAGTGTAAAAATAAAATGGAAAATTAGTTAGGATAAATATTTATTTTCACATAACATTTCTTAATTGTGAAAAACACAATAGTCTATTCACATGTACACATAAACTTTCGTAATAAATTACATCCAAGAAATTGAGTAATTTTGACCAGGAATATGAAATTAGAAGTTATATAGCACTACACTTGCTTTATATTGTGTGTGATTTCAAAATGTTAAGATTAACATTGGAATATCATTTAAATTCACACAAGAACAGAGTGACTCTTTTAAAATAAAACCACTCTGAAATACTGAACAGAAATACAGAATGCCATTGAATACACTGATTTCTTAATATTCTAAGAGTTGGTCAAGTGAAACTAATACATTTTGATTGTATACATTATCTGTAACAAAGTCAGCAACATATTAAAACACCACCAGGCAGCTTTCGGGACAAACCAGTATTGAACTTCTATGCTAACCTTAAAACAATTGGAATCTTAAAATTTATCATCAAGTACACAAAACAAAGCATTTAACCGTAATGCATCGGCATTTTTTTCCTAAATTTACAAATACAAACACTGAATTAAATGTAAAATCCTTCTTTGTGTCCATTAGAATTTTTTTTTTCTCCATAAAAATGGCCTTTAATGGGCTTTGATAATGCCAAGTCAAATTTAAAACAGTGACCCTATTAGTTTGCAGCAAAATGTAATTATCATTTATGGCTAAAGTAGTAAAACACACACACAAAAACATTAGAAGGAATACTTTAAATGTTCCGCATATGAGAAGTTGTTCACATGAGGCCTGTGGAAAAAAATGTATTTTGGAAAGCTGGGGAACGTTAGAGCGCTGTAGGTGAGTTGTTACAAAGATTACAAGGCTGTAATTCTTATTTGTAAGATTCAAAGAAATAGCATAATAATGAGAGTTAGCTTTCATTTAAGCATTTAAAAATTTATCTTAAAAAAATTTAAAATTGGTGAACTCCAAATAACGCAATAAAACTTTTGTTCCACTTCTCTACTAATTCAATACCTAATCTCACAGTCCTTGTTCTACACAAAAGAACAGCTTGAAGGATCAGGCAGTAACAAAATCCATTATGAAAAATGTCTTTGCAGTGGCTTTAAAGCCACATTTTACTGTGTGCAATGTTGGTTTTACCTTTTAATCAATACGTACTTAATGGAATAGTGAAGAGCTATAACAAAACCAACAGCAGGATGCCCATTTCAGTAATACACACAATCTCTGAAATTAAGAGAGGTTTACAGTTGTTAGTAGAGAGAGGACAATATAAATATGCCCTTTATGTGGCTGTATTTTAGGCAGTAAAGAGAAAAATCATTGGGCAAGTGATACAGCTGCATGTGGGGTAGTTTGTATCTACAAAATTTTCCCTATTATAAAATAATGGATTTATTAATGGCATAATGCAGTTGTTTGGCCTACCACGGCAACATTCATACAATGCAAAGTAAGATACTGTAATCACAGATTGCATTTTAAGAAATACTGTACTCATGTTTCACATCAAAGGAGGTGGTGTTTTTCAACTAAGGTGAGAGAATGTTTTAATATAGATTTTAATATATATTTTTTTATATATATATATGACTATGTTGCAGTTACATACAAATTTGAATATTAAATACACTGTAGTAAATAAAGGAAAACTTCACAAATACAGAATCTGACCCTGCAATCCTCATTGCAAGAGAAATCCATGACTTCAAAAGGACAGCTTGAGGAGGAAAGGATTATCCTTGTTAGTTTGTTCACAGGGTCAGATCAGTTGTTACTTTAAAAACTTCTTTAATGTTTGCTTGTCAGTTTGGGTCTCCTGAAATCATTTACTCAAGTTAGGTGATTTAAAGAAAAAAATTTAGAACAAGTGTTTTCAAGTTCATCTCAAATGAAGATTATTAGTATTCTCACACAGAAAAAGTAGCAAAATACAGTACAAACCTATTAACAGGAAAGTTGAATTTGAAAGAAACTTTGCGTGTTAAATTTATGATAGGAATACTGGTAAATGGCCAATATCAGCAAAGAACATGAAGATTTTTTGCATTGGCTACTGCAGACTTTTACACAGATACTAGACAATGTAGACATGTAGACAAGGTGAAATGAGACAAATATTGCACTACATTACCTGTGCTAGTTTGAGATGAAAGACAAAAGTTACAAGGTCAAATCAATTATATTTAGTGGTTGTGGCACTCCTTTCATTCATTTGTAAAAAAAATAATTGAAGAACAAGTCATAGACAAGTCTCCCGGTCAACACCTTTCCCTGAGTCAGCTTTCTTCTCTTTTCTGATTTCAGCACTAGGAAAAGAAGGGGGGGGAAAAAAAAAAAAAAAAAGTGTTAGAGCAGCACTATCATCTATATTAAAGATCTACCTGAAAACCAACACTGCACTGATAGTTTAATTACTTTTTCATGCTGCATAGCACAAACTGGGAAGCAAGTGAAAGTTTCTGTGCTGAATGGGGCAGAAGACATCAGCCAGCATTTTAGTGACGAGACAGGTAGAAAACTGAAGATGTACAGACAGCCAAGTCAGCCAGCATGCAAGCAAAGATAGCCACTTCTTTTTCTCCCCCTGCTCCCTCCCTCCCCCAGCAAATACAACTGTTAATTGATTAAATAATGGTAATGGTACAGTTCTCAGACAATAGCAGAATTTTCTTAAATAGCACAAACAAGAGGTCACGTAAGTATTTATTTTCTTTAAAATGTACTCTGCTGCTCCATGTACATTTAGAAAGAATGTTTCTGAGCTAGAGTAGTGCAAGCCAATTTCCAACTGTCTTATTTGGCTTTCAGTCTTGACTGGGGAGAGCAGGAGAAGGCTGGGGAGTGGGGAGTGACAATATTCCCCATTTGGAGCTGAATACATACTTCCTCATGTGTACGTTATAATGACATAGCTTTTTCTTTAAAAAAAAGCCCGAAAGATCATACAGAATCCATATCACTAAGATCTCTGTAGCAGAGTTCAAATTAGGATTCGGCTTTTTTGCAGTTAAAACCCTGTTGATTTGCCTACAGAAAGCAATATATGTGCAAAGCAGATTTTTTTTTTTTTTTGTTGTGCAGAGGGTCCTAATTTACAACAGCGTAAATAAATAAAAAGTCATGTTCTTGCAATGAGTTTCAATGAGTTTCAATCACACCACAAAAATACAAAGAGGCTTCAGCAACACAGGCAAATCAAACCTTCAACAAAGAGTGGCATGGTATCTAAAAAAGAGATGGTTCTGATAACAAACCTGTATCAAGCACATAACCTACCAGGTTTCATGGGAATAATTCCTTAACTAGAATGAATGAGAAATAGTCTGAGTTACACAAGGCTTCAAGAAAGCAAGATCAATTCTCAAATTCTTAAGGTGATTCATGCACAATTTTACAATCATCTGACATTTTTCTTCACATAAAAATTGCTTTAAGGATACAATTCAGTTCAGCCAAAGCTTACTTCTATGCCTATGGCAGCTTCCAGAGGTGTTAATGGAAATAGCTAAAGAATACCAACTTCTGCCACTTCAACTGCCAAATCTGTCACCTTCTGTAGAACAGTGATAGAATTGGGTACGTTACACTTTCTGCACACAAAGGGTATGCAAACAAATTCCTGGGGGGTGAATTTAAAGTGCAGCAGTACGGCAGGCAGAGAGTTACCTGTGCTTAGTAAAAGCAAACACCGAGGATGTGTTGTGTGCCTTACAGTCTATAATATTTCCACATTTTACGTGCCTCTGTGATACCAGGAAAGTCTTCTTTCTATTTAGGATTCACACCTCTGAGCATCTCCTGCAGATGTTGGCTTTAATGCCTTGAGAAATTTGGGGAAAAAAAAAAAAAAAAAAAGGACAAGTCCAGTCTTTTACCAGTAAAACACATAACTGGTGGATCTGTAAGGGACCTGGAGCTCTCTTCCTCCCTACCAAGGGAGTACTCCTGAGAAGGAAGGTTTGGGATGCAGGATTTGCCTATCTCCAGGTAGAGAAGGGAACTCATACCATCTACAAACTGATAGATGACTCTTTATCCAATATTTTAAAAGACCGGCTAGGACTACCTTCTATACGTGGTCAGATCTTCTGCATATGTTTTGAAATTGCTGAGGGGCTTAATATTATAAGTAAAGACAGAGGAATATTTAATTACATGTAGCACAGTGGGCTATGCTTCAGATAGGTTCCTTAGTGTTCAATTCTACCAAGACAGGCTCAAAAGTAGACCTCTAGGTCGCTAGGAATTTTAATAATGAAAAATCAAGGTTGGAAAATTGTAAAATTCAGGTGTCTTTACAGTTAGGCAACTGTTGACTAAGTAAATCTCATTTAAGTCCCCTCTTTAGACACATAAATACTGTTATGAGTCTGGGACGTAAGAACAATCATACACTATACTACTTCACCAAGCCAGGAGCAGAGCAGAGCTTACGATAGATATTATCTACGCATCAGGCTGGGAATTCATTTGTATAAATCCTTCCCCCAAAAAATCTCTCTTTGGAGCAGATTTTAGTTTATTATTGGCCAGACTTTTCATTGGCCAGGTCCACTCAGTTTTTAACTAGTATTAAGAACTTCCAGATTTTATGCATTCCAGAAATCACCCGATGTTGACAATTGATCAGTGCCTTATGTAAAAGGCATTACATGAATTCATAGTACAGTATCATAATTATCCCCATTTAATAATATTTTGGGCTATTAGGATAAAGAAAGTAGACCTGACAACAGGAGAAGGAGTACTAAACATGTCTGTAGTTGAACTTCAAAAGGCATCAGTAAATTTAATTTCAGAACAACGTCACTTTTTTTCACTATGCTAAGACACCCTTCACTGAAGGGAACTGTGTAATGTAATGCTGGTGATCGTGATCATTTGCAAAAATTATCCTTACGACTGCTGCCACTCCAAGCTTTGCTTTTTCTCAGTGCTTACCTAGGATTGAATCATATCTTCATGTAATGATACATGCATTTAGGAATATAAAGTTTCTTTAGTTCTGACTCTAATATGATTTAAGATTAATTTAGATTTAAAGTTCTTTGAATCTACTTCTGCCTGGGAATCTGAGACAAGCTAGAGCACATGACTGCAAGCTAGAGCAAGACCACAGTTTCTTTAAGACGTTCCTTTACAACAGGACACACATACCTAAACCCATAAAACCTGCAATCCCGTAGTTCCTTTTCACCTGAGTCTTTGTTTTCATGAGCAAAGATCCAAGAATAGATTGAAAATGAGCTCATTAGAAAATGAGTTTCTATTTTACTGCAGCGGAAAGGCCAAATCAGCCTTTTACCATTGTCTGAGCCGCAGTCTATGTGGATGCTCAAAGGATCTTTGAAAATTTCAGCTAAAAAAAGTACACATTTACCTAGTCTATCACACCATCAACAAAAGCAACATCGACCAGAAAAATTACAACTACTGCATACCCAGTGGCTGTGAATGGACCACATCAGTTTCTTCTCTTTCTCCAGGTTTTCACAGCCTCAACAGCAGAGGCACGTAAGGTAAGGAAACCCTACTGTACATCCTTCTCCCATGCACCACACTGATTTCATTGCGACAGGATCCTTCTCAGCCCACGTTTAGGGTGGAAGGCAAATCAGAACTACACTGCTATTTTGACTGTCAGTGAAATAGCATTAAAATGATCACATTAGTGGGCTGCTCCATGGGTGTCTGAAATGAAGATTCTCTGGTCATCAACTGTTCATCTTGTTTATGCTGTTTAGGGAAAGGAACCAACACTGAAAGGCAGCATGCCATTTTGGGGTGACAAAATTAAAAAATGTATTTCACTACAATATTTTTTCCCTTACTGCATCTTTTCACCATAAAACAATGACTATCTGTTTCAAACATGGAGCTTGTTTTGAAAACTATATTTAGAAATGGGCAGAATGTAATTTTATAGTTTTAAAAAGTCAAAGTAGTAACAAAAAAGAATTCTATTAAAAAATTCAATGTAACATTTCAATATACTACATTTACAGTTTCTATTTTTAATATACAATTTTCAAATTTTAATAGTATGGACTTTAATGAAGACCTTTTATGTTCCTATTGGAAATTTCTTTTCATTCTGTCTCCCTAAAAACTAGAGAGTCAAGTCATTTGAGTTCCTAAGTGACACCATTTTGAACTGGAAAATACACTCAAGGAAAAAGCTGGGGGCAGGGTCTTACCTTTGGGGAATCGGCTTCTAGAGTGATTAGGAAGGGGAGCTTATGACAAAATTGTGATATGAAACAATTAAGTAGAACATAGTTACAGTTAAAATTTATGGAAACAGAAGAAAATTTCTCTTACAATCACTGTGTTTGTATTTAATATTTTCTTATTCCCATAATAACTCTGTAGCACAGATAAAACATTGTTGCTTCATTTTACATTTGTCTGGACTAAAATTTCCAAGTATTTACCTGTTTTGAGTACAAGTGAAGTAGGAAAAAAAATGAAAAGAAATAATGCAATCTTAAAATTATTTTCACTCCAAATATTAATAGATTGCATTCAGAGTACTGGGTTCTTCATACAGATATTTCCAGGGCAGTGATGACCACTTCTTTTTCAAGAGGAGACAACAAAAGCAAGCAGAACACACACAACGGCTGTTGTGCAATACCCAGGTGTCGGCTGGTGGCTCATTACACAAGCATCAGGCATGCTTAACTTAACTTTCCACTGTAGCATAAATAAGTAGCATGTAAATAGATGTGATTTTTTTTTTTCCTAATAAATAATGAATTTGTGTTTTGACCTCAGAATATTATGACTGGACATAAATAAAAGGAAATATCAAGAAATAAAACTGAAAGCTAGAAATCTTTCTAACCCCTAGCAAAATATTCTAATATTGGTTTGACATGAATATATAAAGTATAATGCAGTAAAAAAAAAAAATTAAAACCTTTTAGAAGGAAAGCTTGACTCCTTATCTTTTGCATTCTCTGAGGATATCAACAATGTCTTCCACACAGCAGTTTTTGCCATTTCATCAGAAATGTTTATCACAGATGGGTCATCTCTAGGCAAGATCAAAAGTAAATACGCAATAAAACAATGAGCAATCAGTCTTTGTTACTTATTAACTCTATAAAAGTCCTTGAAAACTGCTAGTGATGACAATAAATAAGTGCAATGTAAATTAAGGAATTATGTTTCATTTCAAAAATCCTGAACCATCACTTAAAAATATTCTCTTAAAACATCTTAGCACTTTTTTAGCATTTTCCTCCTCCAACAGCAATTAATCACAGTAACATCAATAAAATATTCTGTGTTACTTCCAACTAATAGACAAAGAAAAATGAGGAACTGTGAAATTAAATATTGCCCAAGATCTCACAGCATGCCAGTGGCATAGTTGGATTAAACAAGAATCTTAAGATCTCCTAACAGTTCTCAAAGTACTTATGCTCTGAAAATTCATCTGCTTTTAAAACAATTTTAAAAGCAATGAAAAACCTTGACAAAGTCAAAGATTTAGAGAGCTAGGAAAAATGCCCCAATTCAACAAACTAATCAGTAGCTTTAAGCAGCAATTTTTTAGCCATTATACCCTTAGCTTTACCTGGACTGCTTCAAATACATACTTATACACTTAAGAATAATAAAGTCCTAAATGTTTTAAGGGCTGCTCTGTGTATTATGCCTGACTACATGGTTCATGTATGGCTTGACATTCAGTAAGACCTCAGTAAACTTGTCTTCACAGTATTTTGGAGAACCACTTTATCAACCAATGTTCTGACTCTTCTTTTTAGCTGTAGGACTGTGACCCTTACAGCACAGCAATTCAGATATTATTTAGGCAACTCTACCTAAGTGAACACACTATGGATAAATATAGATTCACACCTTGAGATAAACTAAGCTAAATATTGCTAATATAAAATAGAACAAAAAGGTATGGACACAGGAAGAGAAAAACAGACCATTAGAAGTGTGATGAATCAAAAGGAAGAAATAGTCTGGGATTTTTCAGACACAGACAGTTATTTGCCTTAGGAGACAAAAGGGTAACTTTGTGTTAAAATATAAGAGAGGAGGCCACTCTGAGATAGTGTCATGTTCCTATGAACTCACGTTAATGCAGAGGTTACTATCACCAGACACTTCCAACCCTTATTAAGAACTTTCTTTTTGAGAACTGTAAATAAGAGTAAGTTCTTATGGGCTGGTCACATGTATTATTCCTATCTATAACAAAAGTTTTCATGCTTTTTAAGTTGTGTCAACCCTGGATTCTGCCTTATCTACCCTGGGCAGCTCTTGATTCACTTATTATCTCACACAGATAGGATCTTAATTGGAATGTTTTAAAATGTTATACTGTAAGAACCTTGTTTTTCTGGGGTGCGTTCAAAACCCTTCCTGGCTCCCTGCTAGCATCAGGTGAAGGGTTTGACTTGTACTGCATGTTCCTTTTGCACTGTGCATGTCAGAAGCCAAGGTTCATTATGAATGACCTGATCCTGCAGTCCTCCCCAAGGGAAAACAGCAGAGTGTCCTTTTTCTAGGTACTGTGAGAGCACATGGAAAGACTAGAAAAGGGCTGAGCTTGTTAAATGCTGCAGCATATAGTTCAGGTCATCTATCTGTACTCTACTACCAGACAAACATCCTCCTGACATTCAGTAAACATTAAGAATAAATATTGTGGCATGTTTATTTTATGTAATTGCAACTCACCTAAAAGAGGAAAGGTATATTTTACCTGTAATGTCCTTCTAGTGGTAACTGAACAGTCCCTTCCTCTTCCATTGCTAACATACTTTGCTCTTCCTAGAAGGAAGGAATTTAGTCATGAGACAGAATATATTGTAGAAAGTGAATTTCATGTACTTTAATTCCCTCTCCCCTTTGGTTTAATATTAAGTATTTATTTGAAGTTCATGAGGTAAGATACTTTCCAACTCTTTTAATTTAAATATTTGACTTTCAAACCCCTCTATTTTAAAAGATGAGTCTGCACTTAATGTTAAAGATATACTTTTGTAACAATAAAGAAAGAGGAAAAATTAGTAACACAGAGTGAGCAACTGTATGAATCTTAAATATCATGAAAAACGGGATACATACATTGCAATGTTAACATGAGAAAATTAAGGAAGTCAAATTTAAGGTTACACACACAGTTTTAATACTCGTAAAGTTTTATTGCAGTGAAAGGTAGTGAAACAAGACACCAAAATTAGTTTACACTTGAGCAGGGGAAAAAAATTCCATGAATAACAGGAAGTGAAGAGAACCATGAGACATATCTACCAAAAATCTTTTTGTGAAATAATTACAAATTTACAAAATCTATCTTAGGGGGTGGGGAAAACAAAACAACACCCCTCAAGCACCATGTCCTGCCTGCAAAAACAAAGAAAAACAAGTCTCTGTCTTTCAGATATCAACTCAAGGCTCCACAGGATTCTCAAGGCTCACACCCCTGTTAGGTCAGGAAAACCACAGCCAGGAGGTTAACATGCCTTCACATGAACGTAACCACCAAATCCTGCCCTGTTGCACTGTGTGTGTATGAGCATAACAGATACCCGAGACCTCCACATCTTTCTTCTCTTTTATTAGATGGCTTTGTAAAAGCTTACCCTGGTTCCTATTTGAAAGTGTGAGTTGGCTCACCCAAAAGGAGAGCTTACCATTTTCTGGCAGATCACCGAAAAACCCACATGCATCACACACACTGTTAAGTTGGCATTAGCTGGAAGAGCCAGTAAAATTTTCCAAAATAGCAGAATTTAAGTCCTCTCTGCACAGAAATTTGTTTCTTCTATGTTTTACTACTACAACTATTTTAAAAATCACAACATTTTTTTCCACAAATAGGAGAAGTCATTTTGTTCATTCCTGTCTCGGGAAGACTTATCTGATTAACATCAAAGTAGCTTCCAAAGGAGTTCTGTGAGGAGAAGGCATGTATATCCACTATAAAAGTACAAAGCCTTAGAAAAACATGGCCTAAAAATACAAAAACAACTTAAGTGATCAAATTAGGATCCAATCAAGTAAGTTTCAGATCTTGTCAACTATATTTCTGAATATTCTTGTGGGTAGAATATTTCTATTTTTGAAAGCCGTGTGATAGCAACTCTCCAATTAATTCCTTAGGCTACATGTCAGAAGTTTTATTACTAGTTAATTTTGTCATTTCCAGGCTTCACAGCTTCATAAGTTTTTGACAGTTAAACACTTTTAATAATAGCTCCAAATATTTAGAAATGCCAAAACATGTAAAAATAACCTCTCAAAATAGACAGTGAATGAAATAAAGTAACACCAGTAGATTTTCCCAGTTGTGTTTTCCGATGCCATCCTATCAAGCATGGGAAGGAAAGTGACATATAACCAAAACATAAGGATACAAGGAATTCTTTCCAATAACCAGACCCACAAGACGAGAGCTACCTTGGTTGCTTTTGGTTACTCTGAATTGTGATGACAACACATACTGTGATGAAACAACTCTCTGGTCTGCTTCGATTCAAGGGGGAAAACAGTGACTCACGTATTTTAATTTCAGCCTGGTAGTTTTACAGGCACATACTAAGTAGTAAATAATCATCATGATGTTTATCACCTAGGTAAAGCCTTTTCCCCAAAATGTATCCTATGAAAGTATGTTGAATGTGTCAAAGAAAACAAAGTTATAGTTCTTCAGGTTACAGATGAGGCAGTGAGGTATCAGATGTCACAAAAGAATCCTAAAGGCAGAGAAATCTAGTTTTCATAGTTACATCTTCAAATTATTAGCTCATGTCCTATATCTTCAAATAGACTTACCAATGGGAATCCTTAAACACACCATTTCCCTGGTCTCAGATCAAATCTCAGGGCATCCCTAAGGATAAATTGCCGATCTATCCATTCACATTGTCTAGTTTTTGCATTACCCTTGTAACACCAAAAGGTTATGTCTCACAGGGTCCCAGGCTTTCACAGATGTCTTCAGGGCATCTTAGAGGTCTTATGCACAACTGTTCCCAGAGCACTCCTGCCTACAAATGACCATAACCTGCCAAGACCATGTGTCATCATCTGTACTTTCACCTCCCACTGCCACCACAGCCTCACACCGTGCTACCATTCAAAAGTGCTGATGCAGGACACATAACACATGACTTCCATTTAAAAAAAACTGCCATCAACAAATTCTACCTACTGCTCCTGCAGTTAGTGTTTTTGTTGAGACTTGTCCTTCATTTATTTGGCCCAATACGAAGATTCCCTAACAGCTGTCATTGTCCCTGGAATCAGCCACCTGATCAAAGGACAAAGACCTCCATCCCTTGCACGCAAATTTACTTTCTATTCCCACAGTTTTATATGATATTCAAACAAACAATTCATGAAGCAGCAGCTAGATAAGAATACTATCAAATATAGGCAAAACTGGTTAGAAAGCTACAATCAGAAAGGTCGGTGTTTCACTGTCAAAATACAGGAATGTTCTGAGTGGAAATGTGTAAGAATCTGTCCTGTATCAAGTTTATAAGAAATGACCTGAAATTCATACTCTTTGAAAGGAGAGAAGGACCCAGATCTGAAACAGTCATTTGGGTGGTAGTACCACAGGCTGTAAATAAAAGTCTGAGGATCTGGTTAACGGGGTAAGCAGTGTCACTGACCTTTTCATTAGAAATTGGAAGTAAATTGTTTCTGCAGTAGCAGAAGCAAAATGCTGGCCCAGAGTGTAATAGGGATACTGCCCAGGGTTATGCCACCACTGAGCAGTGAGGGCACATGCTGATGGCGTGTGACCTATGTATAGCTGAGATGTAGCTGGGACATGCCATGCCCCTTAAATACTGCAGAGCTCTCCTCAGCATCTCCAGCAGGGACGAGACCAGTCCCAACACAGAACCAAAGCGCCCCAGGCATTTGAGAGCTTTCCTGCAGACACAGGTTCATCCCTGCACATCATCTGAGTAGGTCTCAGGAGCAATCCCCAGGAGCACCATAAATACTGTTACATGACGGTATGGCAGCATAAGAATCTACATCTAATAGACACCCCCACCTAAGCCTATTAGCTTTGTAACCTTACAAGGACTTACATAAAATATGACGGTATTACACTTTTGATACTTTGAACAAGTCTGCCTATTGCAAGGAATACACCTTATTCACAGAATTTTCTCTGAATGTCTGAAGGAGAAATTGATAGTGATACACACCAAAAAAACCTGAAACCATGACCCACCTCTTTCTCAGCATCTTCCAGTTTCTTTTTCTTGCTCTCGGGCATCAAATCATCTAACCAACTGAGCTCCCGCTTAGTGAAAAAGAAATCCATGAGTTTTCGGACAAATACCAAAGCTAGGACCTGTAAAGATATTAATTCAAAGAATAAGGAAGTTAAGCAAGTAAAACTGACAGATATTCTTGTAGACTAATACTTTCAAAAGTGACCACAGTTTACAGACAGAACTTTATCCTTTAATTTGGATAGGCCGACAGCTGGTCTTCCTTTGTTCAGACACGTGGCTTGAAGCATTTAACACTCACTGAGGTCAGTAGATTATCTTTTCTTTTCGATTAGTGGAATAATCAGAGAGAGATCACTTAAGCAGCACAACAGATTCTTTTTTTTTTATTTCCAGCAAGACACAGACCCATCAGTAAAGTTCCTCAGCACAATGAACAATCTTCTCTAATGAGTGAATATTCTTTCTGTAAAATGATTAAGCACTACTTCTTAAATAAAAACATCAAGGTTTGGGTTTTTTTTAAGAGAATTTTCCTTAAGAGAACATACACTTAGGCTATCCACACATATAAGCAGAGTTCAACCTAGACTCAAAATAGATGTTATATGTAGAACTTTTCCTTACTTAATACAGTGTGAACTGTCCTTGAACACTGAATCAAAGCAAAACTGTAATTACCTGCCCACAATTATTTTTTTTTCTTCAATAACAATTATCCACAAGTGAAAAGAGATTTTTAGAGGAAATAAAAAATATTTCATACCATCATAGGAAAGACAATGGCAGCTCTTGAAACTTTTATAATCCACAGAAGCACAAGACAGCTCAGCTGAATTACAGTGAAGAGATGGACCTTTCTAAGAGGAACATGCCTCAGATAAATAAAATCTGGTTGATGCTTTGCAGGCATCCAGAATAACTTTATTCTGTCAAAGAGCTGAAAGAGAAATTTTAAAAAGGTTGCATCAAAAGGAGCTGTAGGATCATCTATGGTGACATTCACACACTGCCTAAAAGATCCTGAATATCCTAAGAATCTGGCTTGTTATTCTAAATGCAAAAACTGTTCAGAAGTTCAGGAGCATAGAAAAAGACTACCTCAGTTACAATCATGAGCCAGGAACCTAAACTAGCCCAACGGTGGTAAAGGTCTCATCTTCTCTCTGGTTGAGCCACCAGAATAGGAATGAGAATCATATTATTTAAGTAAAGTTTAATTATTTGGTTAGTCATGCTGCTTAAGTTCCTTTCAATTTTAATACACATTTGTCTCCTTAGGTATTTCTAATGCAGATGTGCTGAGATACTAGATTGTGCTGAATTACATTCTGTATAGTCAAACTCTAGGAAACATTTTGCTCATAACTGCATATGAGGTTATACAGAAAGAAAATAGTTACTTTAAAATAGTACTGCTAAGATTTCAAGTCAAGAACTCAAAGTTAGGCAAAGCCAGACTTCAAAGTAGACGTGAATCAACTGTGAATCAAACTGAATGGAAGCTGATTGATCCTGTTGGGCATACACAATATTACATTGCCTTTCTAATACTTACTAAACTTTTGTTTTTCAACAACTGAGCTCTGTTTAGCACACAAAAAGCTGATCATGGAGGGATCGTTTCAGTCTTTTGCCTCCTGTGGATGAAACACTTTTTTTTTTTTTTTTTCAGTTTACTTCACCAGATACTTTATCCCAGGCTGTTTTCTTTTCCCTATTTCACTTTCTTCACAAAACCAGAAACAAAAAACAAAAGGAACGCCAGAACACCAACTGTCATGCCATTAGGAATGTACATGAGGGATTCTTGGTTTCCAGACCTATTTGGCTCCACACTGACCTGAGATTTTGTGTGAGCTGATATGGCACAATGATGATGGTGATGCACCATTTTCCCTGCACGGATGAACCATGTTATATTCACAGAGCCTTCAGGAATTTTTATTGAGCATGTGCAAACTGCATTTTTTTTAAAATGCTTATAATTTGGCCAGATTTGAGCAGATTTCTTTTTCACAGAAACAGCAAAAAGCACATCCTCCCACAAAAGCCATCTTATCAAATCTCAATTCCTTGTCCCAGCTTGGGGGAGGGAGAAAGAAGGGGGGGATGCTATCACTTTTCCAAGTAAAGATAGCCAGATTTTAGCATACCTCAAAAACACTCCTCAATAATGTACTTTCTCATACCCTTGTTCTGAGAAACAGCCAAACCATATTAATTTGAAATTATCTAAACCACAGAAAAAGTGAAACTACACTTCTTAACATATCAACCCAAATGATAAGAGCTAGGTAAAGTTATAAAAGAAGAGTCTCTGAATAGAAAACACCAGTCAGGAAACAAGAGATGTTGCCAACTTTGCCTATAAATAATAGAGAGGTAAAACGAAGGTAAGACATTTTTAACTTGCAATCAAAATTTTAAAAATAATGAAAGAAACAATCAGGCATTTTCTTTGATGTTTGTATTTGACAACCTTTTGCACAGTGTAATTCAAGTTTTCATCATGTGATTGGTCTTTCTCAATTGCCTTGGAAGGTGTACCAATACCTCAACTTTTGATAACAAACAAAGGCACACTTGAAAATTTGAGTGTTTATGTCAGATGGGCTTAAAGATTTGATCTCATGCCATTTAACGCTGCAGTGGTGCCCAGGATACCGTTACGGACCCTGACTTGAACGCTGGAGTGCCTTGCTGCTGCCAGGGGCTCCTACTCAAACCACTGCAGGAATGCTGCCCTTCCACTAGACTTGCCCTTCTTCCCTGAGGCCAGAAATTAAGTAGCATGGGACTTGCAACAGTTCCACTTCCTTGCCTGGGGCATTTATCTGCACAGGAAATATCTTCAAAGTCTCACCTATGTTAGTTTCAGGGCAAGTTAGCCAAAAGCCTCATATAGGCAAAGTTCAAGATCAGGTATACCACTACAAAGGCACTAACTTGGAAGCTGAAAAGGCAGCAGGCAAGCAGGTGAACAGGGAGCCAGGGGAGAGGGAAGAGCTCCTGATAGCCGTTACTCAGTTTTTAGGCTCTGACAAAATTCCCTTGATAACAAGGGAGAACAGAAAAATCGACACCAAAAGAAAAAAAAAAAAAATGGAGCACATTACCTAAAGGGAATAGTCTATTTAGAGAGAATCCATTTTCCCTTTTAAGTGAGTCACTTTCAAGAATTTGAGGTTGGCAACATTCCTTTAAGATTATACACAAAAGATAATAATATAAAAAGAATAGCTACACATTTTACAGAAAGCATTATCAGTAACACAATTTTCATAAATCCATTTTACCTGAATTCCCTTTAGAGATGAAGCACCCATGTAGAGAAATACTCCATAAAGCACTGGCATAGGAATAAACTGCACAAACAAGCAGCAAAAGGGAAAAGCATATTAAATATCATTTAACAATTTTAAATTCTTCTAGAAAGACATTCTAAACAGTTGAAATTCAAAGTGCCATATGCCTGCATTAATCAGACAAGTTGTAAATTCAGAGTCACTCAATTACAAATTAATAATATTTCTCAGTGTAAAGCAAAAGAAGAATCTGGCTCTATAGTTTGATTTTCCTCTCACAGCCAGTTATTACAATACACTTTATTCATTATTAGTAAAATTAACAGAACTATGTGAAAAATGAAAGCATCTGATACATACTTAAATTCTTTACTTAAAAGACTGCTCAGAAAAGCATCTGAATGGTAAAGCTATAATCCTCAGAAAAACGTTCAAGACACACACACACAATACTTCATACTGCTAAAAGAAATGATCTGTGCTGTAAGTATTTGAAAATGGGTGAATTACTTTTATGGAATGATTTTGTAAGAGACTATTTTAAACGTTCAGTATATAGTCTGTAGGTAAAAGAACAGTTCCATAGATACGTATCTGTTTTAAATACTAAATAGACAAAAAGCATGTTCTGTGTGTTTTCAAAGTGAAGGTTTTATGATACACTTAATAAAATACTACTGGGAAGTACAAGTTCTAAGGGCTTATTGTCTTCACTGTGACAACATGCAAGTCAAAATTCTGGTCTTACTGACGCCAGTGGCAAAACTCTCACTGATTTCACAGAGGCCAGATAATTGTTAAAACCAGTTAATACCGTGTATGTAGATGGTATTATATATGCATATAACTAGACACCCAGTTTCAGGACACTGGTAAGTTGTGTTGAGTATGCAGGCTGCGTGAGAGAATTTTTATGTTCATTTCCAAGAAATGAACCATAGAACTTCTCCTGCAACTGCAAAAATATTTTTAAATTAACCAGAAATCTCAAAATGTTTTAAAATTTTTAAAATAAATTTACTTACTGGTATAATTTATCAAGACTATTTTGTGATAATATGCCATGAGCCCAAAGTATAGACAAAGGGTGAATCTTCACGTACTACAGGTCAGTTGAAGAATTCTCTTTGACTTCTATCAGGCCAGATTTTCATGGCAAGGTTTTTGTTTTAAAAATGTTAGATGTCCCTATCCATTTTATTATGCTAAATTGGAATTTGACTTTAGATTATCTTGTGTAACATTATGCTAGTTAGTAATGTGCCTGGAAAGGGAACTCATTAAATAATACAGTAACAACAGTGAAATATTCAGTGCAGTGCAGTATTCTTTAGCTTTTCCTTACTTTCCCAAATTACCTTCAGGATACTTGTCAAAAAGACAGATGAGCCCATAAGGACAAAAATCATGAGTCCGGTGACTCTTTGCTCCCGGATTCCAAGAAATTTTGGCTGCTCCCCTGGAGCAGAGCATTCTGATTCCAGTTTTAAGCTATTCACATGGGAAATAGAGAGGACAGTTGCTGCCACAAACCAGGGCAATCCCATAATAGAGCACACTCCAAGCATGACGGCCACCATGAGTAGGTCGAGGTGGTATCCACATCCTTTCTGTTAAAAAGAGTAATGACAGCAGGAAGATATAAAATGACATCTGAATTAAGGAGAATGCTCCTGTCAGGCATTCCTAATGAACAGTTAGAGACAATTAAAAAAATCTGTGACTTGTAGGAAAAAATAGCTTTCTCCTATGTGTTATTCAGGTTGGGTCAGCACTGATGGCAAACTGGTTATCTGAGGGGAACTCCTACTAGTTCACAAGAAATGCTTAATGCTATTAGTCTCATTCCAGTTATGAGTTAGGTGTACTTATAAATTCACTTTACAATGGGAACCAAATACCCTTTCTCCTTAGAAAAGAGATACTAGTAAGACAATCTTCTGTTTTAATTAAATCTCTTATTTGTATAATAGTAAGTAGAACATCCAGCTGCACTGACAGCTTTCCATTGCACTACTCTTAATAGAACCTCCATCCATCCTCACACAGGAGGCAGAAAAATAGGTATTTTGATTCCTGCCTACACAAAAATTCTTATGTTAACATTTGCAAAGTCAGTTTATGCTATAAAGGGCCATAAAACCACATCAATCCTTTTAAAGTTTTTATAGATGGCAAGCATGTGATAGTAAGATACTTTCATCTTATCTAAGAACACAGCTAGAAATTAAGAGAAATTAAACTGTAATTAAGCTATACATTAAATTAAACTATCAAATAATATTCATCATAAGGTACTGTTTTACTGGTTTCTCTATTCAATACTTAATAGTATCATAAGCATTCATATAAGAAGTCAGTACAAAATCTTTGGTTTTGCATCATATCTGTAGCAGTTAAATACTCTTGATTTACCAACGGGAGGATGATGTTTTGCTTTTGTTGTAATGGATAAAACTCTTTGGTCAAATCTGAATAGATTTTAAAACCTGCAAATACAGCCAGTGCTTGAAAACGACCAATGACCTGCATCAAACTTGGTTGCACAGATATCTATTACCACAGCTCAGAAAGATTTTTCTTTTCAATTTCAGTAAGTATCCAGGACCACCACACAGCTGCAAGCAGGAGCTCAAGCTATTTTCCTTTAAAAAGTCAGGTAGTTAGTTATCTCCACAAAATTTTCAATATGGCAACAAATCCAGTGTCATGATCTGATGAAACAGTGATGTTCATGCAAACAATGTGAATATGTTGAACCATAATTTTGACTGTAAATCCATGCAAATGCCTTTTGACATAAAAAAAGTAACTAAACTAAACTTGGAAGGGTTTGCTACAGAGACTGCCAAAAGCTGAAATGTGCACTATTCAGAATTTGCTATGGGAAGTATAAAAAAAGAGGGGAAAACGAGTTGGAAGCAAACAAATCATTTCTTTCTGAAGACAACTTTTACTTCTAAAATGGGAAGCGTCTGGGTTTATGAAAATGTAAGCCACATATCGAAATGAAAATGCCATCTTATTTGCTTACATTATTTAAAAAGGGGAATTCATATAAAGTAAAGAAAATGAAAAGAATCAATTCTAGCAACCTTCCCTCACTCCCCAAAAGTGCTTATGAGTCTTATCTCCAAGACACATCTTGACAAACTCAGAGATGTGTCAAACACAGATATTAGTTACATGCACAATGCACTCAAAGAAAGAGTTTAAATCCTAACAGAGACACCTTTTTTTACCTTCTGACACATTTATGAGGAATGTATCTGCTAATGCATACAGAATCCGAGAGCATTTCCTCACATTCATACATGATCTGAGGAACCTGACATATGGGAAGAAAAGGAAGCATAGCAACAGGTGATGCTACACCAGACCCCAGCAAAACTAAAACGCAGCAAGACAAGGGGGCAGCCAGGAGGACCATCTGACTCCCAGATGCCAGTGCTGAAAAAACACATTCCAAAGCTTGGCAGCAAATTCCTGCATCTGTCAAGTTAACCACATGCAATGCTATGGATTGACATGAAGAGCCAGGCTGACAAAGAGGGCAAAAAAAGAACATATCAAATGTCACAATCATCCAAGAAGAGGCAGTGCAAAGTGAAGGTTGCAAATGCATTTGCTAAAGCAACTTGGGATTGGATTGCTGCTTATTAAAAGTATGTCAAAAAAAGCCTAAGCTCGCTGCATATACATGTACAGAAACCTGCTGCTAGATTTTGCCCAACAGTTTTTCAGAGGGGTGATGTCCCTTTTTCTCTCTCCATCTGTAGGCAACTAAAGTGTTAGAGAACAGAGCAGGAAGTTGTCCTATGTTGTTTTAAGAACCCATTGTGCCTCTAAAGCTCAGTTTTATTCTTCTCCCTTCTTCAAGATAGGAAGGGGGAAAAAAAAAAAAAAATGGGTAGAACCACAGAGGAAGATGGAGAAAAAAAATAATATTCTCTTACAAAATAACCCCTGAATAGTTTTTCAAAATCCAATCCAGTAGAAGAACACTGTCAATATCTGAAGAAACAATCAATTAATATTATGGTACTTAAGGAAATTATTAACTTCCAAATTTTTTTCTTTAGGTCAATAGGTATCATACTTCTGATAAAGCATAGAGGATAGCACTTTCTTGATTCAGAATTTCTGTTCCAAATTACATTCCTAAAGACTTCTGTAAGGCAGCTAATCACTGACACAGGGCACAGGTACTACATAGACTAACAGAGAAAAAAACATAACAATCTAAAGGGGTGCTATATAACATATATTAAACTAGCACACTCAAGTAGATGAAGGTATGTTACATACTCTGGAGCAGACAACAGGTAAAATATATGTAACTGAATACCTTTAGCTTGTGTTCTTTTCTATTGATAATGACAGCTGTGATCTGCTGGTCCATAAAGATAAGGATAGTACAAAGCAAGGCTGGAATTACAGCAGCTATCACTGTCCACCAAGGATTAGGGCCCAAAGGAGTAATAAACCAGCCACGATCATCTCTGGTGGGCTATAAAAACAGTCATGCATGACCAGTCAGACCTCTAAGGATTATTTACATTTCAACTACATAAAAATACATACAAAGACATTACTAGGACATGATTTCCTTTAAAATCAATCTATGTAAGAACACAGAAAATTGCTAAACTTCCTATGATATCAAAAAGAAATTACATACAATAAAATCATCTAGAATATTACAGACTTAGTTGTATTTGATAAAATGAGCCCAGAATTTGAAGGGTACCCCAGAAGATTACAGTAGTCTAGGATTTAGGTAATTTGAGCCGTGCTGGTCCTCACACAGAAGACATTAGGAAGCATGAAGGGACCTGATGGGAGAGGCTCACTTACATGGGCCACTGATCAGAGAGGTTGTATAGTATCTGGTAAACATGAAAAATTCAGAACAGTATCACTACTCCCTGATGATGATAAAAAAAAAAATAATCTAATAAACCCACTATAGCACACTACTTTGTCAAAATAGTAAGGCAGTGCAATTTATCAACAAATTACCTTAAAAGCATTTGGAACCTGAAGTTTTGGTGATGGAATCCCAATGGCATAGTCAATTAAAACCATGGACAAAATAGTGAGAAAGACGGCAAAATCGCTGACAACAGATCGTACCTACAATTATTGAGAGAAATTACAATTTTAACTAAAACATTCATGTGTGATTTAGGATTTATTTTTCTTCACTGTTTTAAACTTTTTTGTGCTTACAGCTAAAACCATGCTTATTCCGATACAATTTTCTAACAGAAAATATGTAGTGTCTGATTCACCAGCAGTTAATTGAATTTGCAATGCAGATGAAATTCATGCTTATGCATGACTAATGACAACTTTTGAATTAAAAAAAGTCACACACCTTTGTTGGGAAGTATCGGCTAGTTTTGAACTGCTTCAGTGTGGATGACAGCGTTACTGTAGAAAAGAATAAGATGACAGACCAGAAGAGGACATCTGGAACATAAGGGCCATGATGACCACAGGCTCGCCCAACAAACTCTCCATGAAACTTTTTACATTCCTATCGGGAGAGCAAAGTAGTAATGTTCTGAAAAGTATCCATGTTTACGCTGATATTTTCTTTCCAATTACTTTCCCAAATTGCAAGCAGATTGTATTACTAGAATAGTAAAATAATTTTTAGAAATTCATTGTTTCAAAATTTAAAACTCCTAGCATTTGTATCTAGTCTGCATGGAAAACTCTCAAATCCTCAAAAGAATCTCTTTTTTAGCCAAAGTTAAATGATGAAGTCACTAAGACATACCATAAATAAAGTCATTAACGTAAAACCAGATTTATTTCAAACTGAACAAGTACACTTATTTATTTATTGTTTGCAAACATAGATTTGCACTTCCTAATTCCTTCCAAGAGAAGTTCAAAGCTACCAGGAGGAAGGCTGCTCCTGGTGCATTCTCAAGAACTGACTTTTTGTTTTATCTTCACAGGCCAAGCAATTCAAGAAAAAGCTACTTCTAATTAATGTACAGTATTAGCCTAAAAGGAGACAAATATATTTAATACCACACGGGGGCAGCACATTCCACAAATTATCTTTTTCTTAAAAACATCAATCTGATAAAATGCAGCAAAGTTCAAAATGTGTAACATGAATTCTATCCAATACGTGATCAAATATGCAGATACAGTAGAAAACCATGTCTAGTAATACTCCAATACCATCCCCTTAGTTGTTTAAAATCATAGTCGTTCCAAGTTAACAAGCAGAAAGATGAAGAGTAAAAAGGTGACACACAAACTCTGGACTCCCAATCCTTTCCTTCTGCTTCCCAAATCCCTCCACACTTTTTAAGCAAAAAGAAATGCAGCACCCAGAATCAGAGATTCCAGGCAGCAATACCTTGTCAGATCATGCTCTTTTAGTATTAGATGAACTGGGCCACTGGCTCATCAGACTCACATCACAATCCTGTGGCTTGACATGTTATGAGAAACTTTGGCTTTGAACAAAGGCTGGCTTGAAAAAAAAACTACAGTTGCTATTTGATGACTGTGAGACAAAGGAGTGTAAAATTTTTTATATTGGTATACCAGTAAACCTGGGATAAATATGACATACTTCTGTTTGATGAAATAAAGATTTCAGATGGGGAAAAAATTTTGGGGGAAATCCAGAAAAAATTCTCAAGATTTTGGGACATCAAATAGAAAACTTGTCCTAGACTGAGCTGGACTCTGATGTTAGCACAGCACAGGGATTAATTTCATCATATACCTAACGAAAAGGATTTTGTCACCATCAGAATAAACACTTTGCTCACACTTGTTATGTCCTAGATAGGAAAAAAAATTGTTGGTCCTACTGTTGTTTTTAAGAGAGAGTGCCAATCTATATCTTCAGAAACGTGGAACTTTTAAATCAGACACAAGAAACAACAGGAAGAAATGAGCAGTAAAAAGGACAGTGAGGTGAGACTGACCAGGTATTTATATACAACTAACGAGGTCTGATCTTTTACTACAATTCTCTAGAACATGAGAACTGAAGTTTCCTGATGATGCTTGCAAGAAATAAATACGTAAAAGCATTAAAAATTTCAATTATTTCTTGGACAACTACAGGGACTCATGGGGAAAGGTCCATCAGTCATACTGCTATCCATGTAAACTCAAGTTTCAGTAATAACTTACAGAAGTTTTAAAGGGTTTTATATAATGCAGCCGGTCTTTTACATTTATAGTTAAAACAAAATCTGTTATTTTAAATCTCCTCAGCTGCAAATGTACTCTGAAAAACACTGTCAGAGATCTGAGAAAGTGAGAGGAGGAGTCTGCCCCTGCACAGATGCTCTTAGAGTGTGCTGCAATTTTGAGAATATTCATTCTGGATTGCTGGAATCCCTCAGGCCAGCAGTTCTCAACTTTCTCTCTGCTGTTGCCACACCAACAGAATTGAGGAGCAGCCCTTGCTATCACAGCAGAGCAGCCATGAAAGTCGGCTCTTGCCTTAACTCATGATAGAAGGACACCAGTTATGCATTCCTGCCTTTGAAAGAAAAAACAATATCTGCTGGAGATAGTCCACTGGATTAGCTTTGATTAGCGTTTCATTTCGTTATGCCTACGATGAGGTTAATTCAGTTATATTTTTGAGAGAACTCTTCAGTTTGGTGCCTTTTTCACTCCATTCTTTTTGACTGTGTAATGAAATGATCCATTTGAGAGAAAAAGCGGTGGCCTGTTCTCAATATGACATTTCAATCAAGTTGTAAGTGTTGCTTTAAAGAAGGCAAACCTGAAGTAGTAACTCCTTTAAAACTAGAAGGGTGCACTGTTTAGAAACAAGTTATATATCCATGCAAGCTCCCCAAACTGTCTGTAGTTTGTTCCCCCACTGTCCTCAGAAAAAAAATTACACAACTAAGACACAATTAACACTGAAGGCCTGCATAAGAGAGAAGTTTGGTCACTGCACAGAAAATAACACAAAATTTCTCCCCTTTCTCTCCTTTATAGCCTGAACAGCTGTAACAATGTTTTAGGGGAAATAAATGCTTCTGAGGCTTTCTACATGAGAGAAATTTGGTTCTGCCATCTGGCAGAATTTAGGACCAATCCGTTGTCATTTGACAGGTTTAGGCTTAATCTCAGTCAAACTCTTGTGCTCGTGTGTCAAGAAGTTACCAAAGCAGGACACAAAATGCACATACTTGCTTTAAAGTGTCCTAGCAAGGGCTGCAAAATGCTTACAAAAGGAGGTAATGCTATGAAGTCTATGCTAATCTTTGTTCAGTTAAGTACCGTTTATGATTTAAATAAATATGATCAGAAAAAACATGGTATTTTTTCCCATATATTTGCTGCAAGTAGGAGAGACAAAATTATTTATGCTTATGCCTTTATTAAATTCCAATATTTCACTTACTGACACAGTTAGGTTCCCCCATGGCACATCAGATGCAGATATGTTGTAGTCCTGCCAGTGTCGTAAAGTTTTATTGCTAGGATGTTCTGGTTCCACACAATTGCATCTGAAAAGACAAAATAGTATTTTTTCCTTAATAATAAAAGATGCATCAGTATTAATCCAAGCACACTGAAATTGTGCTCTACTTTGCCAGATAAGTTTAGTTCAAATGAATTCAGTAAACGCATGCTTTGAAGCAGTGTGTAGTTCAATAGCTAGTGCTATTACTAGAGTGTAATTTGCCGTGAGGTGCATGTGCATATATAGTACGTAATGTGACATATTTAAGCCACTGTCCACAGCAAGTTTTTCCACCTATTTTCCTCCTATTCTACTGATAGTTCCAAACACTGAGACTGCGCCAGTTCTGTTCCACCCCCTTATACCTAACACTTCCCTACATGGGGATTAGATGCTATCCACAGCTCCAGGCTGACCCATTTCTCGAATGCAAACTGTCTGTATTCTCATTCTTTCTCTTGACCAAAATGCCTTTGTGTGCAAAACTGCCAAACTGCCCAGTCAACTGTCAGGGCTCTGCAAGATCACCAGCACCAAAGGCTCTGTGAACTTCTGTGTCCATTGTTTTTCCTTTCCCCACAGCTGCTTTAAAAGCATGCTTTTCATTTTAAATTGTGTATTTTAACACACAAAGCGTGACGAGGCAGTGTGGGAGGACAATACTGTAAATAGGCAATTTAAAATCAAAATTAAGTCTTTCAAGCCTCTGAAGCAACTGTGGGAGGCTTTTTCTTTGACAAAGCCTTCAAAATATGAGGATATTCTGTAGGTTCCAAGATGTCAACTGTGCTTTGCAGTTCTCTTTAAACTAATCCTACTTTAAAAATCTATAGTACTATCTATCCTGCTAGTATTTGAATGTCCTTATGATGGATGTAAATAAATTCTGTACTCTCCTTTCTGATAAAGTTTTCAGGAGTAGCTGGGGACAGGATAACATCTGACTATAGAGTGGAGAGGCATTAAGTATACATTTGCATTCCAGTTCTACAAGAGTGTTTATTCACTTACCTACACCATCTATTTTCTCTGTGGCTGTTTATCTTTCCACAAAACGAGAATGCTCATCTAGATTTATAATATTTTCTGTATAAGAAATTCTACCATCTCCATTATGAGTACAGAATAGTGCCACTGTATTTCAATTACAATACTATACATGTGACAACAGCTGCATTTAATATATACACAGAGATGCGGGTTGTCTTTGTGCAACTCCTTGCTTTTATAAGAAAGAAGGAAAGAAGGAAGGGAGGGAAAGGAGGGAAGGGGGAAAAGTGGGGGGGGGGGGGGGGGGGAGGGAGGGAGGGAGGGAGGGAGGGAGGGAGGGAGGGAGGGAGGGAGGGAGGGAGGGAAAGAGAGGGAGGGAAAGAGAGGGAGGGAAAGAGAGGGAGGGAAAGAGAGGGAGGGAAAGAGAAAGAGAGAGAGAGAAAGAGAAAGAGAAAGAAAGAGAAAGAGAAAGAGAAAGAAAGAGAAAGAGAGAAAGAGAGAGAAAGAGAGAGAGAAAGAGAGAGAGAAAGAGAGAGAGAAAGAGAGAGAGAAAGAGAGAGAGAAAGAGAGAGAGAGAGAGAAAGAGAGAAAGAGAGAAAGAGAGAAAGAGAGAAAGAGAGAAAGAGAGAGAGAAAGAGAGAAAGAGAGAAAGAGAGAAAGAGAGAAAGAGAGAAAGAGAGAAAGAGAGAAAGAGAGAAAGAGAGAAGAGAGAGAGAGAGAAAGAGAGAAAGAGAGAGAGAGAGAAAGAGAGAAAGAGAGAAAAAGAGAGAAAAAGAGAGAAAGAGAGAAAGAGAGAGAAAGAAAAAGAAGCCCTCACAGCCCATGAACAAAAAGCAAAACAAAAAAAAACAACCAAACAAACAAACAAAAGAAAAAGCAACAGCAGTCAGAGAAATAGAGGGCCTGAGCCAAACATCCTTGACGTAGACTGGATCTTTCAAATATATTCAATATACTTTGGATCAGGCCCCAAGTGCAGAATGAATGCGTGTTCAATGCGCAGTTTAAAATATTACAAAATGAGTTAAATGAAGCACATCACTACTTGTGAGCTACGGTAGCATAATAAAGTCAACAAACAGTATGTCTATGTTATTGCAAGGGAGTATTTGATGTTCATGCAACAATACAGAGGTGGCTGTTTCAGGTTACTACTGTTTCCTGTGAGCACAGGAGCTCCCTGGCCCCTGATGTCCATCGCCGATCACGGACTGGGCGGACGCTGGGCGATGGCCCATTGGGGTTTGAGTACAGTAGGCCAAGGTGATGTGGGCTGTTCAATCACAGTCACTTTCTCACTAGAAGGGAAGACTGTGCATGTCACCAACACTACATGGTACAGCTACACTTGCCGCAAACCGCAAAATTACATTGAAAAGTTAGAGGAGCCAAAATGTGCATTTCTTTAGTCAGAAACGTGACAATTGATGCTACAGTTTAACACAGTTCAAGTCATTCACCTTCAGATGACATCATCATCCTGTTTATTTCTATATCAATACTACTTTCCTCCTTCACAGCATTCCAGTCTGGCCTTTACCACGTTTCACAGGCATCTACCGATGGCAGACTCTTCAACAGTGACTCGTGCAAACTCCACCCATGCAAACTAAAATCACCCTGCACCCAGCTTCTGTCACCAAATGTGTGCAGAATTAGGCCCTAACAGTAAAGATCAGATCCTGCTTTCTGCTGAGAAGATCATTCAAAAAATGATCTCCGTGTTTTGCTATATATAACATTTCATTGTTTTCAACATTATGTGCCTTTTGGTAACACTGACACTTTCATGTGAGATTGTATCACAGTATAACTGTCTTCCAGTGTCACACTAATTGCTTAACATTATAGAAATGTGAGATAGTAGGATACTCCCGGTCCAGTCCAGAAAACACAATTGGAGGTACCATTCAATTCCAGAAGATAAAAAATTATCTACCAAAATGTGACATTTCATAAGAGATGCAATTGCTTCAATGATGACTATTTCCCAACATAACTGACCTGCACGAAGAAACTCACATTAGTGAAATAAAGTTTTCTACTTTATTTCTGAGATCAGCTCTCAGGAGAAAAAGTAAAACTGAATTGTTAACCACTAACACATCTTTCTATTTTCTTGATAAAAACATTACTCATAAAGCTGGCATAAGTAAAAATGTATTGCCTCTTGGAGGTTCAAATACTCCTATATTCTTGTAAGGTTGCTTAAAGTGCTGAGCACTTGCCTACTACAAGAGATTGTTGTAGAGTTTTTGCTATTACCAACAAGCAAGAGACTATACATTCACCTATATTTTCTAAGCAGCATATTCAGCACCAAATACAGTACCAACTTAGCAATGTGCTCCCATGCCTTTTAGTGATAAGGAGTCAGCAATCACCTTACTTATGCTCAAAGATACAGAATGATTCATTTGATGCTCTTTCGTCATTGCTAGAATATAGGCAGGGAAGACTGACACTGGTTGTGGTGGCAAAAGCATAGGTGTCACTAGAGTTGAAAAAAAAAAAATATCTCTGATGCCAGTCTCACAATATGCCCATTTCATCACACTGATGACAGAACAATTCTTTTTGGTGCCTTTACACTTTCGGCTACTTCAAGATGTTCTGAACTCCTAGGAGCAATTCGGATGTCTAAACATGGGTGCCTGTATACCCCATGGTATCTGTGAAATCCACAATGGGTTGGCACATATGTGAAAAGGGTCTATGGTGACTCATACCTTTATTTTCACAGCAGCTGGAGGCTAAGAGATCTAAAATGGCACTAGCTACCCAGTCACACATAATTCCCTTCTCTATTGAAAATGTCCGTATTTTGCAACTAGGCAGAAATCAGTGGAGCTAGCTTTCTTCTAGGTTATTTAAACATTTAATACAGCCTGTTACAAAATGGCTTATAAATCTGAGGTAGATTAATAAAACATTTCAGACAAAAGAGTCTTTAGGAAACTACCGGAGAACCATCATAAATTCAGAACTGACAAAAGGACAAAGTAACAGGAAAATAATGGCCTGAACCTGCTAGCTAGAAAAATAACCAGGACAATGAGTCTTTATTGCCTTTACATCTTCCAAGGTGCTCAAGAAATCTCTGGCAAATCAGGATGAGAAACAAAGCTAGATCGGAAAGAATAAATTTTAGGACTGGCTGACAAACTGGTATCCTCTGGAGACTATACCTTTCTAATTCTACAGAAGGATCAAGATTTCAGCTAAATCTTCAGCACCAATGCAACTATAACAGTATAGGCAGTATAGGTCACTGATGTCAACCCCCTTCCCTTCTTTGTCCTCCCAACCTCCCCGCATTTTTTCTAGCTCTCTTTGCTTCTATTTCGTAAGTCTCAATTTCAAAAATTTCATTAACTTGAGGCAGTCATCATACCTTCACTGTGTGCAACATTTCTTATAACTTGTCCTATTTTCAAAGAACGGAGCTAGGATTTGACAACAGCAACTTTAAGACATCTCAGACAACTAGCAGTGCTCTTTGTTCTGCAATAGGAATAGTTATTATTATCCTTAATATCACCAAAAAGACTGTGTGTATGATCCCTCTTGGACAATTGGAAAGTGAATACAGGGTTAGTAAATTAGAAACTTGTTATTTTATATGTAGAGTTGGGGAATATTTTCCTCTCTCCTTTGTAGATCAGCAATAAAAGATAAACAACACTGTTGCTCAACAACTAGTCAGGTGAAAGGTTATGTACTAAAACCACTGTAATTTTGACATCCTGACTGTAATTTTCTGTTTACTGCAAAACAAGAATCTTATTCATAGGCCCATCTGTTCAAGTGAAATTAATCTGAGTCTGGTGGGGGAATCCTTCTCATTTCCACCTCTTACCCCCAATTCTCGAGGCTCGTTCTTCACCATTTTCTTCTCTTTAACCTGTCATGCACATTCCCCTCCCCACACAGACTTTAAACATGCAGCATGGTGCTAGTCCATTCTGCTGCCATTACAGACAATATAAGAGTTTTGAACAAGAGCCTTGCACAGTGTTTTTGTAAGTAAAGCACACTTAAATGGTGCAGCTC